TTAGTCTTACTTTAAATCTTAATCCATTTTGCATTGAATTTGTGTATAATGTAAGAATCAAGTTTCTTTCATTTCCTTATTTATTTATTTATTTATTTATTTATTTATTTATTTAGATATTTCCCAGCACCATTTATTGAGAGATTATTCTTTCCCATTCTATATTCTTGGCAGCTTTGCCAAAAGTTAGTTGACTGTCTATGTGTAGACTTCTCTACTTTTTATTTCATTGATATATTATTTTGTTTGTATGCTACTATGATGCTGTTCTGATTTCTATACTTTTGTAATACAGTTTGAAACATGAAATACAATGACTTCAGGCTTCTCTTTTAAGATTGTTTTAGTTATTTGGGTCTGTGGTATTTCCATACAGATTTCAGGATTTTTTTTCTCTATTTCTGTGAAAAATGCCCCTGGAATTTTCTTATAGGTGTTATAGAAAATAAAATATTAACAGCCTTTATCCACTATCAACCTTCTTTCTGAATCTAAGCTTTCTAAGAACATCAGACAAATTCTAGTTGAGGAATATTTTATAAAACACAAACTATTGTAGCTCAAAATAACAGGTAATCAGAAAGAAAATAATCTAAATTTCTGTCTAATCTCTATCCTTCCTCATATCAGACACAAAAGCACAAATAAATGAACCACAGACAAGAATCTAAGGCTACATGAATATTAAATGTAATGTACTGTAATGAATAGGATCCAAAGTAGAAAAATGTTAGAAACAAACAATAGCACTATTACTCTTCGCATATAACATACATCTTTTGTGTGTGTGTAGTTTTTTTTTTTTCTTCTAGTTTCTTGCTAGAGGGTGCATGTACTCACTGGAGAAAGAGAGAGACAGTGAGATGGAAAGTGAGCAGACACTCGATAATCCCCTCTCCTACATTCTCTGGAATTCTGCGAATGCTCATATGCAACTGATGTGATTTTCAAGTCACCAGGTCCAAGACTCTAACCATGATTAGCTATGTGGGGATCTAGCATCTTAACCACCATGTCTGTCACTTGTTGGTTCAACATAGGACATACTTTTATATAGTGAAAATTTTAAAGAATCTCCTAAAATTCTAAAGAATCCAGTAAATGTAAAAATTTATTAATAAACAAGTTCAGGAGGGTTTGAGGCAATTATATCAATTAAAAATCAATTCTCTCTCTTTTATTTTTAATTGAGATTTTTGCTATAGGGCACGTGTGCTCACCTGAGATACAGAAAGAGACAGGGAGACAGAAAGCAAGAAATCACTCCTCAGTGAGGATGGTCACGCCACAATCCTTTCTCCTCTCATCTCCTCTTGGGATCTTGGGCATGCATGCACACATGCCCAGTTGTGAGTTTTAAGTCACTGGATCTGGAATTCAAACCAAGATTGACTACATGGGAGTCCAGCCATATAGTCGCCATCTGCTGGTCCCAAATCAATTATCTTTCTATAAAATAGCAATGAGTAATGTGACAGTGGATTTAAGAATGCAGTTCTGCTTAAATAATATAAAAAAGGATTATGTACCTAAAAATAAATTTAATATAAGTAATAAACTTAACTCTGATGTATAAGAAATGTTAAGAGAAAAAAAGAGAAAGGTCATGGTGCCACAGTGCCACAGCAGTAACAATGCTCCATGATTGTGAGGCGATATAGGAAGGTCTTGGTTCCAGGTTCCAGTTCGAGTCCCAAGTCATCCCTGGTCATGCTAGGTGCCAGTGCCCTTGTGACTGGCTGGCTGAGGCTGGGGAAGGTGACTGCTTCTCTTTCTCTTTCTCAATCTCCCTCTCTCATAAGCTAAATAAGTAACTAAACTGAAAAAAAAAAATACTAGATGCCTGGATAAGGACCGATATATAAATCAATGAACTAAGATTGAGAGTCTAATAATACATCCTTAAATATATGACAAATTGATTTTCATAAAGGATGCCATTGTAATTCAGTGAGGGAAAGAATAATAGGCTTTTTGGCAAATGATTCTGGGACAACTGCAAAGTAGTTTTTTTTTTTTTTTCTTAAAATAAATTTGGACACTTTCATCATATGAGACATAAAGACTGGCTGAAAATTAATGATAAACTGACTGAAAACTAGAAAACTCTTAGATGGAAATATAGATGTTAATCATCATGACCTTGAGTTAGGTGAAGACTTTACAGATATGATATGAATATATGACAAAGAAAAAATAGGCTTATTAGACTTTTTCATGAAAATTAAATGTCTTGTGCTTCAAAAAATACCATTGAGAAAGTAAAATGAAGCTTAGTCATCCTGGCATAGGTGGTCACATGCTGTTCTGAAAGACTGAAGTTTAATCCCAGTTCAACCTGAAAGATTCTGGGCACACAGAAGTTGCCCATGATCCTGGTTTACTGGAAGGTTGGATCAGGGGAAGATATTACATACAGTACAATCAGAGTCTGTTGAGGATGCCTACCCTCTCTTTCATGAAATAAATATCTTTTAAAAGCATGGTTAAACATAAAATTTAAAAGATATAAAAACTGATAATATAACCACAAAGTGGGAGAAAATATTTTTTAAATCATATATCTGGTAAGGACTTTATATTTAAAATAGATCTATAGAAAAGAACAAATATATAAGAAAGAAACAAATCATTCAATTAAAATTGAGCAAAAACTGCTTCCAAAAAATATACAAATATCAATGGGCAAATGCAAAGATACTCAGTTTTACTAGACTTCTGAGAATTGCAAATTATAACCACAATGAGATACCATCTCATATACACTACAATAACTATTATCAAAAATATAAAATAGAATACACATATTCACAAAGGTATGGAAAAATTGGAGTCCTCATGTCTTGCCGCTGGTAATATTTTTGTGGATCGAATGCCTTGGAAGATAGTCTCCCAACTTACCAAAATATTCATCAATATTACCAGCAATTCCATTCTTAGGGTCATACCCAAAAGAAATACCAATATAATCTGTATGAAATCCTGTGTAAAAATGTCCATAACAGCATTATTGAGAAAATTCAAAGAATAAATACAACCCAAATTTCCATCAGCAGATGAATGGATAAATAAAATGTGGTATGTCCACATAATGCTGTATTATTTGGTCATTAATAAAATAACCAATGACAGTGCTGCGATGTGGATGGACCTGGAAAATATTGTTACTCAAAGAAGTAGGTCATAAACGGCCACATATTTTATGAGTGTATTTATATAAAATGGTCAGAATATGAAACAGAGTAGAATAGTGGTTGCCTGAGTCTGTAGAAAGGTGGGGAGAGAGAAGTGGGAAGAAATATGAAATGATTGCTAAAGGGTAAAAGACTTATTCTGTAGGTGATGGGTGATGAAAATCAACTGACTTTAGAGTATGATGATTGTGGCACAATTTTGTGAATATACTTTGTTTTCTTTTATAGTTTTTCTATAGTAAACATATGCTCACCAGAGAGAGACAGAGAGAGAGAGAGAGGAAAAGTGAGAAATCACGATCTGGGGAGATGGTCATGCTGCAATCTTTGGGGATTTTGGGCATGCACATGTGCTGAATGAGTCTTTAAAGTCACTGGTCTGGGACTTGAACCATGCCATCAACCATATGAAATCCAGCTGCCTTAACCTCTGCACTACCTGTTGGCTCTATGAATATACTTTTAAAAGCATGCTCCCAGCTTTACAGGAAAAAAAAAAATACTCAAAAGAGGCTTCTCAGCTGTCCCACATTTACTCAGTAGTAGGAGAAGTAAGCTACTGGTTCCCTCCCATTTGCTTTTGCATTCTCAGATTCACAGTTCTCACACCATCTTCTTATTAATGCATCTCTTGCCCTCTAGGGGACTATAAGCAAGGGCAAAATGCCGAACATAATTCTCTATAAATAGTCAAAATTGAATATTTTATGGGGCCATGTGTTTTTCCACTGACACAGCATATTAGCACATTTGTGGCTAGATGGGCAAAGCATGCAATTTTCTGAGATAAAATGGGGGTCTAGTTTTTATGAAAACATATCTCTTTTCCTGTGGGTTCATGTATCATGCAGAGGTGTCACTTAATCCATTCTATTTCTGAAGTGTTCTGTTGCTTTCCTGGATATTAAGTCATTTGGGATACTGATAATATTATGTGGCCATGAAAACTAATAATCTAATGCTTAAACAGAGAACTGTGTGATTAGCTTCCACAGATATTTATTTGCAAGTACACAACAATTAGCAATGTCCACCTCCACTGGAAAAGGGTGACTTTTAGAGGAAATTCAGGCATTTTTTTTTGGATGTTTGTTATGTCTGGTTTTCAGGGGTTGATAGTATCCATTGTGATTCTGTTCATCTGACCCCACCTTATAAACACACCTTGAGTTCTGTGTTCATTGTTTACTTCTATGTTATTCAGAAAGCTCTAATGTTCCCTCAAATGAGACAGTCTTTCCTAAACTCTGTGTTTGTTTCAGTCAAGAAACCCCTCTTTTCTCCCCCAAAAAGAAAACAGTAAAGATGATGACAAAGAAAATACAAGACCACAGGATTCTGTGCCTGCACTTCTCAGAAATTTCAGGGACTCCTACATTGATATTTATAAATTCAGTTACAAAGTCCTGGGTCACTATCACAGTTATGACTCAATTAGTTGAATATGCTTGGCAAATCACTCAACTTCTCTGAGGCTCAATTTTCTCATCTCCAAATAGATTAATCTAAGTCTCTGAGAATTGCTCTGGTTCTGATTTTTCTACTCTGCTATACGTGATAGAAATTTAAGATAAATATGTAATGATTTCATTCTGCACACACATATATTTATAGACACACAAGTATATAAACAGAGTTTTTTATTAGACTGGCTTAAATGCTATAAGATATACACTTCATAATTATGATAAAGTTTATATTGACTGTGATGAAGGTTAATTGATACTACAGTGTACCTCACTAACATCTAGATTATTAATCATTTAGGAAATAAAGCCCAAGTGTGAATATAATATTATTTCTTACCTTTTTGTATAAAACATGACAAGTCAGTTGTCTTCAGTTTGTATTCTCTGTAAAATGAGCCAACACAAATATCTTGAAGTTGTTGTGAGGGGTTAATGAAGCTACCTCTGTGACAACTGCCGAGAACTCACCATTCCTTCATCTCTCACTCTCCATAGTTCATAACTCACTCCTGGAGGGAAATCCAGAGAGAGATGTGAGCAAGCAGTTAAAGCTGCATCAGGTTGAACATTCTTAGTGTGAGATGAGATAGAGTAAGTATAAATCATATCTTAGAGATTAAGGACACAATGATAAACAGTGTTCCCAAATTAAGACTGTGAAGGCTAGGAACAGGAATCAAAGACAGAAGGGTCAGAGTACGTCAAGCACAGAAAATATGCAGGACTCAGGACATAAGGGGGAAGATAATTTTCCCAGCATGAGTACAGAATAGGCAGCTTGTTTATGGCTTGTCAGCCCTAGTACTGTTTTAGAAGCCTAGTAGAGTCTTATCCTATATGTCTGGGAGGTAATGTGTGTTGTAGAATTTTTATTATTACTTCTACAGATCCAAATGAGTTAATATTTTGATAGTGTAATGAGGATGAAAAGTTCATTCAGTGAGTTGAGATGGTGGATGGTGATAAGGACCACAGATCACACGGAGTGGTGGTCATTAATTTTCTGTATTCTGTGTGGATTTTGTGGTCAGCTCTAGTGGGTGTATGTTAAGGAAATTCTTACATCTTGGTCATAAGAGAGCACATCAAAGTTCTCTATGAATTGCTTTAAAGACAGACATACAGAACCTCTGAGAGCATTTTAGATGCTGCAACTGGCTATCAGATACCTAGTCGAGTGTTTTTTTTTTTAACATTTTGTTGGAGTGCATGTGCACTCACCAGGAGATAGAGAGACAGAGAGACAGTGACAATGAGAAATCAAACGCTGGAATGAGTACCCATACCTACAATCCCTTCTCATTCATTCTCTTCTTGGATTTTGGACATGCACATACATGTACCCATGTATTTTTCAACCCTGTGAAGTTTGCCATGCAGAATCCAGCACTGTGCAGCCTGCTGGTCCTATGTCTTTGCACTCTTGACAGGGACACACTCTCTTAGCCTTGAGAACTCAGTTTGGCAAACTGGGGTTGTGGACCTTCTGACTGGGTAGAGGCTGTCAGTTAAAACAAACCAAAGAACAAAACAAACAAACCCATCATTTTCATCCCTACATAAATAGCTGATGCATGGAAAAGTCAAGTTGAGCCATTAAAAGAGGAACATGTGACTTGGGCAGATCGAGTGTCATAATGCTGTATCTTTGTGCACAGTGAGTGATGTGTCACCAAAGGGTACTGATTGGCCTCTGCTTGTGCTTAGAGAGCTCAAAATTTATTTTTTGGAAAATCTTTTTTGGTCTATGAGTAGTCATCAGGAACTTGCTGTATAAATAGCATCTGTAAGATGTTTTAATAGTATATTTCCAAGGATTTGGTGACCATTTTGAAGGCTTTCTGGCTTTCTGGTGAATATTCTGAAATTTGAGAAATAAAATTGTAATATATCATAAAAAGAAAGCTACTAAGAAGTACTAAAGAATAGACAGAAATGTGTAAGGAATTAGAGACTAGGGTAAAAGTCCATATGAAATAGACATATCTCATTTGTGCTTTAAAAATATCTTGTATTGTCACACTTTAAGAAAGTTGCTGTAGGTAAGAATGATCCTCGGTTATAATGATTCCACTTTCATAAAAATTTTGTAGCAAATGGTTCACCACTTTACTCCTGTTTGTTGTGTGTAGAATTCAGCCCAATTATTTCAACATTTATAGAACTGTTGTCATGGTCCAGTCAACATGCTAGGAGACAGGAATATGTTGATATTAACAATAATAATACATATTTAAAGAGTGGTGCTATTATATTGTTTGATCTCACACAAACATAGTAATGTAAGAACATTTATATTCAGATTTACATGAGAGGATACTAAGAATCTTGGTCCAAAGTAACATAGATCATACATGGCAGAGCTTGAGTGTAGACTTTATTCTGTCCTACTTTAAAATCACTTCTTCAAATAGAATGACATGTTCCCATTCAATGAAAAGGAAAGGTCCATTGAGCTCAAGGACTTCTCAAGCATGAGAAAGGGAGTCCTAAGAAGGAATTAGTTTCCTGCTTAATCCTCCCAGTGGTTTCCAAGTGAACCTAAAAGGGCTCAAGTCCCCATTTTAACTTCTCAGTTCCTTCATATTTGGTCGCTAATTCATTCTAGATACTAACTTACTTCTTCATCTCTGTATTCACTCATATCTAGCCATACTGAGCTTTCTCAATCTCTCTTCACTCTTTTCCACCTCTCAGCTATGGGTCAACTCTCTGTCCCAAGCTTCATTATGTAACTATTACATGACCTGGGAATCTCAGTTTTAATATAGCATCCCAGAGAGATCTTTCCAAATATACTAATAAATACACTAATATAAATTAATGTATGCTTTTGTATTTTCTTATATCACTTCTTCTTATTACTGTGACTTGTAATTATATGTTTGTTTATTGTGAATTCATCTTTAATGTATGTCTCCCAAATAGCTTTATAATCCATTGAGAAATAGTATTAGGTACATTTATAGTTCAAAACTTATTATAAAAACACTCTAGATTAAAACATAATCATATTTTTAATGTTTGTATTTAAGAACATCACTCTTAAGAAACAATTTTTAATGATAATCCAAAATAAAGCAAGATTTCAAGTCTTATTTTACCTGATCATTCTTTATTATACATTAGAAAACAGATTAGAAGATATTACTGAATAAATCAATGTTTATTGACTGGTGGAATGAATAAGTGAATTGGTTCTTAAATATGTGAATATTTTTGAACAGTGATCTATACAGCATTAGTTTGTTTTATTATTTTGCTACCTTAAACTTCAAGTTTATTAAGAGTGGAAATTGGCATTATCTCAGTAGCTGGCACAATCTTGGCTCATTGTAAGAGTTGATTTTTTTGTTTGTTTGTTTTATTTTTTTAGAAAGAGATTTTTGCTATAGGGTGTGTGTACTTGCTAGAGAGACAGAGAGAGACAGAAAGCAAGAAATCACCCCCCAGGAGGCATGACCACGCCACAGTCCCTTCTTCTCCATTCTCCTCTCAGGATTTTGAGCATGCAAGCACACACGCTGATATGAGTTTTAAGCCACCAGGTCTGGGACTGGGACCACTGTTGACTACATGGGAATGAAATCTAGTGACATAACCATTGTAGCATCTGCTGGTCCCAAGAGTTGAATTTTTTGTTGCTTCAATTTTGCAAGAGGACACATGCACTTGGCACAGAGAGAGAGAGAGAGAGAGAGAAATTGATTGATTCTGGCAAAGTGACCTTTGATCATGGTGGCTCAAAAAGATATTTAAGGGAATAGAATCCCATAGACTTCAATGATTCTAATTATGTTCTATGAATTGGATCCACTTAGAAACTAAATATCTTTTCTATATACATAGTTTTCAAGAATCGAGGATATTAGAGTAGCTAAAAAACAGTATAGCATAAAGTGGAAATTTTGATAATATGTTTGGAATTTAGGAATAAAGGCAACTTTTAAAATATGAATACACCAGGGTTATATGTGCAATATGCTTTAATTCTTAAATTTCTAAACATCTCTTAACCCTCTTGGCTTTTTTGTTCAATACAAGTAACATAATTTGTATTACATTTCTAAATCATGAAATTTAATCATTTCAAAACACCATTCAAAAATATTCTAGTCTTGGGCCAGCCTGTTAAGGCATCCAGATCCCACATGGCCAACTGTATGGTTTGAATCGTAGACCCTGCAGCTTGATAAACATGCCAAGCACTTCTGCATGGCTACCAAATCCTTGGAGAAGGGATTGTAGCATGATTATTCCACATGGGGGGTGCATTCTCACTTTCCCTCCTGCTCTCTGTGCCAAGCACACGTGCCTTCTTGCCTATTTTTACTCTCAAGGAACTCAAAGTTTAATGGAGCATAATAATAAAAATTAATGCTGTATAGTTCACTATTCAAAAATATTCACATATTTAAGACATTTATACCGTATGAAGTTTAGCATGATAGGTATTATTTTACCTCCATTATATTTAGTTAGATGCACAATATATACAATATATATATTTATATAGAGATTATATATTCCATGTTAATGCCAACATGAGCATTCATGTTGAAATGTCATATGTACTATAATAGATATGAAGTGAATTTAGACAAGATTTGTTAGATTGTGTGAGAGAAACATTGAGTCAAAGTATTGGGCTGTCAGAAAAGTCATGACACACTTTTGCACAGAAAAACATGTCATGGCTTTTCTAACAACCCAATAGATAGCCATAGTGAAAAGGGAGGCTGTTACTGAAAAACTAAAATACTGTTCTTCAGAGTATGGAGAATCTTTTTTCAGTCATGATCAGCATCCTCCTCCTCCTCCTCATCATCATATCTACTATTTATCAAGCAGTCAGCATATGTTAGGAATATTCCTAATGCTATATATGGACTAACCCTTTCAATCCTCACAAGAAGCAAAGATATAATTCCCAGATTTATCACCGTTTTTCAAATGAGAAAGTGGATGCACACAGACCTCATGGTTATTTCCATAAGCTGACTCAGAAGCTGGCACATCTAGGAAGTGCTTGGAAGATTAGAATATTCATAGGAAATTAGGATATAAAAGGTACCCCTCAGTGGGACCATGTATGTTATGTCAAGAGGATTGGATTTGTAAGAATATATCATTGACAATTTTAGGAAGGAGCATGTCAGGATTTATGCATTTTCCAAAGATCATGTAGTTGAAAATGTGAGCAAGAGAGACCAATTAGGAGAAAATTATGAATTCCAAAGTAAGAAGGATGAGAATTGGAACAGTAAATAGTTATGGGAGACAGACAAAAAGTGAACTCAAACCCAATTAAATTTACCATAGAATTGACAGCTGTGGTGATCATTTGGATGCCAAGAGGTTAGGGATAAAGAAAAGAAAACATTAACATTGATTAAAATGTTTCACACTAGGACAAATTGGTGGAGGGATGGGTCATTATTAGAAATAGAGAATGCAGTGGAGGAATCTGATGGAAGTTAATTATTGTTGTTTTGGACAGGTTGCATTT